CGCCGGGGTGATTGATGGTCGGGCGGGGTGGGGCGGGGTGTGGCTCCCCTCGGGGCTAGGTCCTCGCCCAGGGGCCCCATCGCAGGCCCCGGCGGGTCACGTGTGTGACACTGTGTGTGTCCCTCCCATCTGACCTCTGACCCGCCGCAGGAGAGGCTTCCCGGATCCCATTGGGCGTAGCCGGGCGGGGCGCGACCCCACCGCCGCCGCCGCCGCCGCCGCCGCCGCTCTGGAGGAGAAGCGAGGAAGCGGTGAACCTATATCCGGCCGGAAGGGGCGCGGCGCCCTTTGCGTCGCCCCGGCCTTTTCCCCTTCCTTATTTACACTCTGCTCTCCAGGGGCGTTCCAGGTCAGGGCGTGGCGGGGCGTGGCGTGGCGCGGCGGGGCGCGGCGGGGCGCGGCGGGGCGCGGCGGGGCGCGGCGGGGCGCGGCGGGGCGTGGCGGCCGGGGCACAAGTGTGGCATGTGATGGATGCGCGTGGGCGCCCCCCGCTGCGCCTACACTGCGCTGACCCGTCGTAAACCCCGTGCGGCCCGGCGCGGTGGCGCAAGCAGCAGCAAGCTTATGGCCCAGTTACCACCGCTTAACCCTGACCGCACTTATCTTATCTCTGTCCTAACACGAGCCTTAAGCTTGTCTTACGACCTTAAACCCACTCGCGAGAGTAAATTACTTTGCTTCTGTCTGTTTGCTGAAAGTGTTGTGTGAGTGTTGTGGTTGTGTGTCTTGTCGTTTTCCGGGGTGGGAAGAAAAAGAGTCGCGGAGGTTTGTTCGCTTCTTTCCTGTACGCCGTGCGCTGTCGGCAACAGTGTAAAGTTGTTGGCCTCGTTTGCGGCGGGGTGGTGCGCTCTGGAGCCGTCCAGGAATGAGTTGGCGTTTATGAGTATCTCACTGCGCCGCTAATACGACGCGACGTTCGATAAACCACCAGCAAGCGCTCGCGACAGAGCCCAAGCATGCAATGCGGTCGTAAAACTTGAGCACACCCGCACCTTTGTTGAGCCCGTCGTCGAGCGAGCAGCGTAAGCAAAGTCGTCCCCCTTTAAGCACGCTAATCGTGCATGTAAGAACATTCTCAGACTAATACGTCTAGATGCACGCTTACATGTGTAAGCACCCGTAAGCATGGTCTCAAGCACGCGGGACATGAAGGAACTTAAGCGCACCCCTACCATAAGCACGCGGTACCTTAAGCACCCCTATGCCTCAACGGAACCCGGCCCACCTTAAGCACGCGGTACTCTACCTCCAGCGCACCTCTCAGCCTAAAGCACGCGGTACCTTTCGTCTGGCGCGGTGAGCGCGGCGGTTATACGGCCACAACACACTCAGCCCGCCCATAGACGCGCAGCTGCGGCTCTACGATAAGTGCCCGCCGCACGTATACCATGTCTTTGTCCCGGCCGGGGCTGGCCGGGCCGGGGATTGCCGCTCAAGGCGATATGGCGACTCGATCTGATGGCAGTGATTCTCTCATGGCCTGCGGCCCCCACCCCCCTCCAGGGCGTCGCCATGACGCAGCGCCACGCCACGCGTTTTGTTTGATTGTGGTCCCGTTAGGCGCGGTGGTGGTTGGTGTGGACTTCCAGCGCGATACCTGTAGGTCTCTACAGGCCCAAAGGTTTTGAATAAACCTTGAAACAAATTGAAAATTTTCAAAAATTCCGTTGCACACATGCACCAAAACGCAATATTTTTCATAAATTTGTACCCAATAACTTAAATCTTCTAAAATCTGATAAAAAAAGTTCCGTCGAGAAACGGTTTGTAAAAGCAGACGATACAAATTCAAGTAATCTTGTCAACTCTATAATATTTCATTGGGGAGTTCACGGGACGTTGTTTTCAGTCTCTCTCACTCTCACTCTCTTCTCAGCTAGTCGGGCTGACCTGAATGACGAATTTTCCTAAAGAGAAGCGGTGAATTTTGACCGTATTAAACTGTCAACTTTGTTTTTGTTTTGTTTTCAGAAGCTACCCGCGCCTAATTTTAGACTCCTCCAAACCGAGCCTATCCAGTGCAAAGTTTGCCGTAAGGGACGCCAGTCCTCGTAGCCTCAATCTCATGGAAGAACGGGAGGAGGGGCCCTTTCTGTGTTCTGTGTGTAACAAAGATTTTGAAAAAGATGATGAACTGCGTCGACATCTTCGAACTCATATAGGAGATGAACCCTTCGAATGTGACATGTGCAGCAAGAAGTTTTCTTGTGCAGCAAATCTGCGAAAACATCTCAAAACACACACCAGAAAGGCACATTTTGAGTGCACGGTGTGCAATAAAAAGTTTCTGAACGCACGTGATCTGGAAAGACATCTACTAACACACACCGGAGAGAAACCCTTCGAGTGCCCGGTGTGCCAAAAGAAGTTTACTCAAAAGGGAAACATGCGTACGCATCTCCAGCTTCATTCGGGAGAAAAACCTTACGAGTGCACGGTGTGCAGTAAAAGGTTTCCACGAAGTTGTGATCTGAAATCACATCTCAGGACTCACACGGGAGAAAAGCCGTTTCAGTGCCCGCTGTGTGTCAAGAAATTTTCACACTCTCACCAATTGAGTGCTCATCTCAGGACCCACACGAAGGAAAGGCCTTTCGAGTGCACTGAGTGCCTCAAGAAATGTTCTTCAAGTTCCTCTTTGCGAGAACATCTTAAAGTCCACACAAGAGCGAAACCGTATGAATGCTCTTTGTGCAAGAAGAAGTTTGGGTACCATATCAGTCTCAGTTATCATATGAAAACGCACACGGGAGAGAAGCCTTATGAGTGTGCAGTGTGCAGCAAGACATTCGCCTCCAGCAATGGACTGCGCGCGCATCTTAGAATACACTCTGGAGACAAGCCTCATGAGTGTACAGTGTGCCACAAACGTTTTGGAGACCCTGGTGATTTGCGGACACATTTCCGAATTCACACGGGGGAGAAGCCTTTTGAGTGTTCTGTGTGTCACGAGAAATATTCGGCTAGAAGAACCTTGAAGACGCATCTTCGAACTCACACGGGAGAAAAGCCTTTTGAGTGTACCGTATGTCACAAGAAATTTGCTCAAGGTTCAAATCTGCGTTCACACTTAAGAATTCACTCGGGAGAAAAGCCTTTTGAGTGCACTGTATGCAACAAGAGATTTTCGCAGCAGTCAAGTCTAAAGGTGCATCTAAACATTCACACTAGAGACAAACCTTATGAGTGTTCAGTGTGCCACAAACATTTTTCACACCCTTGTGATTTGCGGAAACATTGTCGAATTCACACGGGAGAGAAGCCCTTCGAGTGCACTGTTTGTCACAAGAAATATTCCTGGGAGAAAACCTTAAAGACGCATCTTCGAACTCACATAGGATAAAAGCTTTTTGGGTGTACCGTGTGGACCATGTGTCTCAAGAGATTGTTTTCATATTTCACGTATGTTCGCACTCAAGAATTAGTTCAAACGAGAATCCTTGACTATTTTCCCCACCTGGGGTAATGTAGGTATATGTCCAGGGGGTGGAACTGGTAAAAAAAGTGTACACACGTGTCTACACAATCTTTGTTTCAGAATGTGTGTGATTGTGAATGATTCTGTCGATGCGATTGTCTCTGATTGTTTAAGATTGTTGGGTAAATATAGGTTTAAAAATTGTCATAATTGTGTCAGATTGTGTGTGATTGCTTCCAATTGTTTGATTGTGTCGATTGTGTGTGATTGTTTCAGATTGCGTGTGATTGTCACTGTGTGTGATTGGCTCTGATTGTTTCAGGTGGTCGGATAAATATTGTGACATATTTTAAAACATTGTGTCAGATTGTAACTTGATTGTGTGTGATTGTTTTCGGATTGTTTGTGTTTGTGATTGTTTACGATTGTTTGTGATTGTGTCCGATTGTTTGTGATTGTGTCCGATTGTTTGTGATTGTTTCATGATTGTTTCTGATTGTTTTTCCCGATGTACACACATTGTGTCCAGTTCCACACCCTTCGGTAGATGTCATTATGCACCGATACGATGTAGAGACACCTTTGTAGCTCGGATCTACAGATTTATCTACGAAATAGGGCACAATTTTGTACATTTTTTTACAGTGGTAAAATATATCAAAATCCACCTCAAATTTAGAGCTGGCACTGTTCTGTTCTATCGAATAAAAATAACCCATTACCTCAAATATCCAAATCAAGAGTGTTTATAAAATTCGAACTCAATCCACTTCCACACTGAAAATTTAAAGCATAAAGCAAACGTGCTCATGTGCTTTAGAACAACTGTAAAGGTGCTACTGCAATAATGTCTTCGTAAAGGCAGGTATCATCTGCTAAAAATCACAGCAGTTTTGTTACGATGTAGTTTACCATTCCTCTTGTTTGGTTTTGACGGATAGAGCTAGTGAAATTGTGAGGCGGCGCGCTGAACCAAAGGAGACGTAGGAACTCAGTTCTAGGCGCGGCACGTCGCGTCGACTCATTCTGTAATATGCAGATGCGAGAGATGGAAATGTGATCCCTCGGCGTGCGTGAGGGGGGGGGGGGGGGGCTTGCGCTGTGTGGTCCGGCAGTTCGGCAGTGGTCCAGCAGTGCTGCAGCTGCTGACGAGCCATCTGGCTGGGATGCTGGTTGTGCCGGAAA